GATAATCCTGTCAATTCTCTTCTTTCTGCATTTTTCCAAAGTATTGCTAGATGACTTACATTCTTCCCACAACTACTGCATGTTTTGCAGTCATCGTGTCACATCTCAAACAATAAGCATCATCCATAAAAGGGGATGCTAGGAGAGAAAAAAAGTTGTTTCATCCTCGCTTTTACTTTTTATGTGTTTTTTGCAGCTATGCAATGCAGAAAACGCATATTGACGAGAGGCTGTCTGTGTGTGCGTCTGTCACGGTTTTTCATCTCAATACCCACAAAAGCTACAGGACTAAAATTTTGGGAGTTTAATCTGCATGGACGTACGGGCCTCAATTCCCAAAATGGGCGCTCTTAACCGCGTGGTACTCACGTACGAGCCTCTGAAAATTTTCTGCGCGCAAGTCGCTATCTCTTGAACCAGAAAAGCTAAAAAGTTGAACGGGGATGTCCCCTGTCCACGTAAGTCCCAACGACCTCAAACCCAGCCGTCGGGTATGCGTGGTACCCACGCACACGCCCGCCAAAGCTTTTTCGGGTAAGTTGCTAACCTGAGAATTTGAAAAGCTAGAAGACTGTAATTTTAAGAAGATATTCCTCGTCCACCTAAGTTTCATTGAGCTTAAACCCAGACTCCGGGTATGCGTGGTTCTCACGTACGAGCTAGCCAAATTTTTTTTCGGGTAAGTTGATAGTTCAGGAACCTGAGAAGCTAGAAAACTGGAATTTTACCGGAATGTTCCCCATTCACGTAGGTATTAATGAGCTCAAATCTAGTCCCCAGATATGGGTCATTCCCACGTATGGGCTCATAAAAGATTTTTTCGTGTAGGTTGCTAACTTGGAGGCTTGAGAAACAAGAAGACTGGAATTTTGAAGGGATGTTCTTTTAGCTAGAAGCATCTGCCGGAAAAAACAGTGCGTTAGCGACAAAAATTTGCGGGAAACTATGCAAAAAACGCATCTTCGCACGGGCAGCCCCTGCGCTGGCCAATTACTGATATTTGATGCAGCTGGTAACTTCTCCATTTTTCACTATTTTGAACCTAATAATCCTTCCACTGCACTATCACCAGTTGTGTTCTTTCAACATTGCTTAGTTGCTATTCAACAATCTGCTTGATCAACTGCTGCCTCTCATTCTTGCCACATGACCAGCACAGTTCTTCGTTTTGTCACACACTGCCTTGATAATATCGCTCACATCAGAGAGAAAACGAAGTAATTCAGTGGAAATGTACTGCGACCTGATGACTTCTCTAACGCAGTGTTCCATGGCTTAAGATTCCATTAACTGCTTGAAATCAGTGCATAAAAGAAAAGAACAGGATGACCAACCACATCCAAATGCAAAAGAAAAAGGAAAAACGTCAGATAACTAATAAACCGTCCATATCTGTCTTGGAGAACTGCTAAGAACGGAAGTAAAAAGCAACCTGACTGGCAGTATCTTGGATAACACTGAGATGCAAACGTGCTCCACTCCTTCGGTAATTACTAAGCAGATTATTTAGTGCACCAAGAGGAGCCAATTCTACCAGAAGTGCCAAAGGTCGTGGGCATACTCCAAGCAGAGCGGTAATATGAGAATGTTGCAAAGAAGCAAGGACATTAAGTTCTTGTCGGCAAGTACAGTAAGCACGACAAGCATTCTGCAGCGGATCCCGTTGCCATTTTGTGTATGCTGCCTAAAAATCACACTCTTTTGAAATAAAAAACTGTGCCAGCACTAGAAGGTGAAATAAGTGGCTGTCGAAATTTAAAAAATTTGAAGCTGCCGGTGCTAAAATCCCAACAAGTCTCGGTGTGAATGCATGAAGACGATCGAAGAAGATACAGGAAACGACTCCAGCAATACTAATATACAGAAACACATGTAAAAATAAAAATGCACAAGGCTGTCCGAACCGAAACTCCAGTAATGCAGAAGGCTACCCGAACTGAAACCCCAGTCTTCCAAGATTTTAACGCGCCATGAAAAATGTCGTCTGGACGGTAAGGACCTCATCACAGTTTAAGACTGGAATTATCTGAGATAAGGTGATGTTCGGCATACCCCAACCAGGCATTTCGGAACGGCTAAAGCAATGCCAAGTGCTTCTACCGGGAAAGTCATTGAATTAACAATTCTACCGTGATTTGAAAAGAATGTTAGGATCGTCAGCGGGCAGTGGAACATTGAAGAGTTGCCAAATGAATGAGTAAAAACTAGCTTATGAGTTACAACTGATCCACTTATTCCATGTTGATGCAAATATTTCAATTTGTCAATTTCCGTAGCAAAAACTGTCAATTATGATAAGGATGTGCACAGGGTGGGGTCAAAATCTCTTCATTTACGCCTTTTGTGAGAGGCTCAGACATTTCAAAGCAACCTGAGTGGTAGCACGTAATGATAGCAGCCCATAAAAGGCAAAGCTTTCGTTGGCTTTCCCACCAGACAGCTGCTTATAAACAGGCAGATGAAGAATTTCCCGCATATGACAGTACCAATTTATCACCGAAAGGAAAGAATAAAATGTCAGGAGATTACCTGACCTACAGGCTGGGTCGAAATCTTAAGCATCAGTATAATAGCACTGTTCTTGCCACTACGCCATTCCAGTCCTCGAATCTAACTGAGGCATATAATTTTAATGATGAAAATCATTATTACCTTATACGCAGAAACGGATGTCGCCCGAGCGCCCATGCCTGGTTCCACTGGCTCCAACATCTTCAGCGCAGCATCATGCACGTTGGCATCCTGCAATAACTGCACAAAATAAGAAAAAATTTTCCAAAAAACTTCTACATCGACTGTCAAATTTCATGTCTTTTAACAAATATCAAACTCTTGCGCTATTAATTCATCAAAAACCAACCGAGATTTTGACGCCGGCTTTAAAAACAAAGCCAAATGCACCACGTCCAATTAGTTTTCCTCGTTTCACTGAACCAGGCTGTATAAGATAATCACGACTGATGTCAAGAAACACAGTATCAGGCGCAATGTTCACTACAGAAATGTCGGAATGGAATGGACATTTCAAGGCAGCCCCGTCATGGCCTCTTAGGATGCATTCCTCCACAGTGAAGGCATGCAATACGCGCTTCGGTAGACGCGTCACACCATTGATATCCGCTACAGTCTGCGAGCGTACGCTGAAGGAAAACACAATGACAATTCGGGATTTCCTGATGAAGAATTGCCACATTTTTTTACAAATTGCTCATGCTGCGTTGCAGTCCTTCCTTCAAAAAAATATCGTTTTTCCAATTTCTTCACTAAAACAACTGTTCAGTTCTAGTAAGGGAAAATTCCTACGCAACTACACGCACGCAAAAGCAAGAAATCGCGGGCTCATGACGACATCAGATTTGTACTGAGCATTTAAATTACCATATGCAACGGCACCATACTGTGCTCCGTCATCGCTATTCATTGTGCACAATTATGCAAATGCAAAAATGCATACAGAAGAAAGGATGACGGTGTGTGTGTGTGTGTGTGT